TGGCCGACCGTGGTTCGAGTCCTGGACCTGGCGGCTTGCTTTCTCACTTTCTCTTTCTCTCTCTCTCTCACTCTGTCCCTCTCTAGTCAAATTTAAATAAGCAAATGAATAAATAATAAATAAAGTTAAATAAAATAATTAAAAAAAAAGAATCAAACGGAACTGTTAGAGCTGAAGGTTGTAATACAGGGAATCAAAACATCCCTTGAAAGTATTAAGAGCATATTACATCATGTAGAATATCGAATCTCAGATGTAGAAGACAGAATCTCTGTCCTAGAAAAATTCACTCCAGGGGCCAGCAGGTGGCATGGTGGTTAAGGGCACTAGACTCCCACATGGCCGACTGCAGTTCGAGTTCTAGACCTGGCATCTTGCTTTCTCACTTTCCTTCTCTCTCTCTCTTGTTCTGTTTCTCGCTAGTCAAATTAAAATAAAATAAAGTTAAATAAAATAATTCCTTTTTTTTTGAAAGGTAGCACAAGGCATTCTTTTTTTAAGAAGAATTATTTTATTTTATTTTATTTATTCATTCATTCATTTATTTATTTTTTAATTTGACCAGAGGGAGACAGAGAAAGAGAGAGAGAGAGAAAGTGAGAAAGCAAGCCACCAGGTCAAGGACTTGAACTGTGGTCAGCCATGTGGGAGTGTCCAGCACCTTAACCATCACACCACCTGCTGGTCCCAAATAAAATAATTCTTAAAAAAAAAAAAATTCACCACAAAGACTGAGAAAATAGCCCCTAAGAATGAGAATAATATGCAAGAAATACTAGATACCATTAAACATCCGAACATCTGGATAACTGGTATCCCAGAAGGTGAAGAGACTAATAAAGGTATTGACAATCTATTCAATGAAATCCTGGAAGAAAACTTTCCAAAGCTAGAGAGGCATTAAAAAATCTAGACCCAAGAAATACAAAGGACCCAAACAGAATCAACTTAAGATCTTCTTCTAAACACATTATAGCCAGATTGACCAAAACCACAATGACAAGATACTAAATCGGCAAGACATTAATGTCAAGTTACTTACAAAGGTTATCCCATCAAGCTACAGCAGACCTCTCATCGGAAACAATGCAAGCAATTTGGAAAGAATTAGGAAGTATGTTCAAAGTGTTAAGTGAAAAACAGTTTCAACAAGGAATACTATACCTGGCAAGATTATCCTTCATATGGGAAAAAAAGACAAAAACATTCTCAGAAAAATAAAACCTGAAAGTATTTACTAACACCAGACCATTTCTCCAAGAAGTTCTGAATGGAGTACAAGACCATGAAAACTAAATACAAACACACAGAAATAAGAGTTCAAAAACAAGAAAATGGGTACCTTAATGGTAGGGACAAGTCTGGAGTTGAATGTTATCTCCCATAATTTAAATGGAAAAAATCATACCACAACAAAAGAAAATTTAGTTACATAAGACTGAACTGCTGAAATAGAATTTTATGACTTTTGGCTAAAACTTTACTGATTTTTCTTCTATACTTTCTTTTCCAGATTTAAGGATTTTTGTCTTCTTTTGAGATGTCGATAGGATCATGTACCTACTATTTGAACAGAATCCTAACCTGTTTCCTGGCTTTAACTTGTAAGCAAATTTCTTTTAACATTTTAAAATTTGGTTTATTAAAGCTAACACTGCTTTTTTTTTGAAAGACTTATTTTATTCATTGTCATTAGTTTATTTATTTATTTGTTTTATTGAAGTTGACCAGAGAGAGACAGAGAGAGAAGGAAAGTGAGAAAGCAAGCTGCCAGATCCGGGACTTGAACCATGGTCAGCCATGTGGGAGTCCAGCCACCTTAACCATCACGCCACCTGCTGACCCCATGACCCCAACTGATCCCTTCTCCTCCATTCTCCTCTCGGGGTCTTGGGCACACACACACACGTCCCCAGCGTGAGTTTTAAGCCACCGGGTCCAGGACTCGAACCGTGGTCGACTACATGGGAGTCCAGCCACATAGCCATTACGCTAACTGCTGGTCCCATAGGCCCAAGTCTTTGTGGGACCTGGAATCGATTCAGGTTGCCTTGCTATGACTGAGGCTAAGGGTGAGGTGGGGTGGTCCTACCCAGAACTGGGCCTCAGCAGAGAGGAAGCGAGCCTTACAGTCATTGTAATACCGTCTTCTCACTAAGTGCTATGCCCTGTCCCAACCTGGTGGGATTACTACCATATTTGAGGAAGGGATTATTTACAAGCCTTTTTTTTTAAAAAAAATTGTTTTTTAAGAATTATTTATTTTATTTTATTTATTCATTCATTTTATTTACTTATTTATTTTAATTTGATCAGAAAGACATAGAGAGAGAGAGTGGAAGAAGGAAAGTGAGAAAGCAAGCCACCAGGTCTGAGACTCGAAACATGGTTGGCCATGTGGGAATCCAGTGCCCCCATCCACCACATCACCTAGAGGCAAAATAAAATAATTTTTTTAAAAAAGGTATTTTGTGGGAACCAGCAGTTAGTGTAATGGCTATGTCGCTGGACTCCCACGTAGTTGACCACGGTTCGCGTCCCAGACTCGGTGGCTTAAAATTCATGCCAGGCGCGTGTGCCTGCGTGCCCAGGATCCCGAGAGATTCGAATGGAGGAGAAGGGATTGCAGCGTGACTATCCCCCCTGGGGGGTGATTTCTCGCTTTCTGTCTCTCTGTCTCTCTCTGTGTGTCTGGCGAGCACACGCGCCCTATAGCGAAAACCTCTCCAAAAAAAAAAAAGGTACTGTAAGTTAATAAAATGTGGGGGAAGAAAGGACTGGAAAGCAACTAGATGCCGGAAACAGTGTGGGAGGAGGGTGGGAAATGGCAGAGGGTGAGAAATTGGGAATAAAAAAAAAAAAAAAAAAAAATATGTAAGAGATGGGAAC